TCTCCCGCTGTCAGTCTGGAATCAGTGAGCTCCCACTAGCTCAGGTCAGCTGTTTCTGTGGGTGTCCCCATCATGGTGTTGACCCTTTTGCTCATATTATCATTTCTCCCTCTCTTTGACTGGACATGGGAGCTCGTACCAGGGGATAAACAATGTTCTAATGTATAAACTTACCACAGTTGCTAGCTGGTCCATTTACCCCCTTATCTTTTACTTATTTCCAGTTTTAGCTGCTGTAAGTAAAATACCATGGATTCTCACAGCTTCTTGAACACACTTCTAGACGTCTGTGCGTTTGCCCATGCAGGTGGCTCTGCTTGCATCCTGAGATGGTTACACCAGAAGCCATCTTTTCCCCCAAACCATCACCCTTCTCCTTTGACTAATTACCACATATCCTTTCTCCCCTTCAGTCCACAGCATAATGTTGAAGTTCCATTTATTTATTGTCCCTTGAATCACAGTTTTATGTGTTTCTTCACTGAGGACCCTTTGTCGGTCATATTTACCTTTGCAATGGCCCTGACTTGTCACATAGTGGTTGAAGGAGTGACTTAGTATCTAGTGTGTGAAGTCAGAAAGGCAGTAACTTTGGAGGCTATCTTTCTTGACTGTGCTTAGTCTACTCAATTTCCCACATCCCATGAGGCTCATGGCTGGCCAACTGCTGTTAGGAATTCTGGGATCACTTCTTGTGATTCAGGATGGGGCATAGAAGCTGAAGGATCCAACTGGGACTATAGAATTTAAAAAGCTACGCCCTAGAGTTAGAACTGACTCCCCAGAGTTACAGTGTCTGCAACCCTCTCAAATGGCTTTTATGATGAAAGAGGAACATCTTCGACTTCTTGAAATGGAAGTGGCAGCTTCAGAGGGGCTGAGGGAATGCAGGAGAGAGTGGCCACAGGCGATTTCACCTCCTCTCTCTAGTCTCTGCCGAGATCTTTTGGGTCACTTAGAGCAGATGAACAGTGCCCTGGTTTGTCTAGTGCCAGTGGTTCCTTTTCAGAGCCCTTGGGTTTAGAAGTTACCTGTTCCTCTAATGGATGATATGAGAGAGAATCATCCCTCCGATTAACCAGGTAGGTCATGCTTGAAGTTACCTGTTAAGACATTACTCTACCTTCCACACAGGAAATGTTTTGGACAACATAACATTCAGCCTCTTGCATGGCTATCCTGCTTTAATCCAAACTTACAGTGAGCAGAAAATGTGAAGAATGTAGTTGGGCAAAGAAAGAAGTGTGAGCTGCTTTAATGTTGGCAGGTAGCTGAGGAAAAAATAGAGATAATTATTACAATTAAAGGTAATCCTTGCCCTATTTGGTACTGGGACAATAAGATAAGTACCTGGAGGGAGGACCTCACTCATGAAAAAGTGATTATATATATATATATATATATATATATATATATATATATATATATATCTCATTTGGAAAACTTACATTTAAGAAGAAAGGGCTTGAAAAGCAGAGGCCTAAATAGGTAGGGCAGGGTCTCCTTGTCCCAGCAAGACCACTGACAGCAATGTTTCCTCAGCTCCAGCCACCCAGACTCTCTACGACCCTGCAGTTGTGGAGGAAAAGAGCCAGGATACATCTTGGACTTACAGTAGAATTTCATGTCATCCTCTATGTACTACGTGGTTTGAAGTCACGCAGAATGCAAGAGGTATAGGGTTATAGAAATTTGTACCAAGGTTTCAGAAAGACACAGAAACCGGGAAATGTGTGACAGGGTCAGATTTTTCTGCAACCAAGGAGGCCCTGAAGGGCACTGTGTGATGTTGTGAAGATGAAGCCTAACTTGCCATGGAGATGAAGCCTAACTTGCCGTGGAGATCTAAGGACGCTGGTGATGCCAGGACCATGAGATGTCTTCCAAGGAAAGCTAAAGTTCTTAAATGCTGCCAGCCTAAGAGAGAGGACACATGCACTAGGCAACATTGATTGTACAGACTGGTACCTGAGGCCGTTAAACTCAGATGATTCCATCTTAGACCTCAGATGCTAGACATGGAGCTAGAGGGTGCTGTTGGAACTATAGGACTAGGTACTTTTAAAGTTAGGCTGGATGCATTTTGCATTATGAGATGGCCGAAGCTATTTCTGGAAGTTTCTGAAATAGGAGATGGAACCTTGACAGAGGAAATGGATTACAAGAGGGCAGTAATCAATGACTGTATCTCGGTCCCCCTTTGAGTTCTCTTGGTCTCCTGATCTACATGAGTAGTCATAGTTACCCATTTTCACAGCTATGAAGTTTGTCATGATAAATTGTATCCACTCTACCTGCAAACCAAGTTAAAGCCTTCCTTAGAAAAGGTCTGTCAGACATTTGACAATGACACCAACCAGGAATGTACACAAAAAAGTAAAAGAGGACAGATTGCAATCGAGACTGAATCTGTCCAGGAGAATGTTAAATGTGTGATGATTGGTGAGCGGGCTTCAGAAAAGCAGTTCATATGATATGGTGTAAAAAAGCAGAAACAAAATGATCAGGTGGGAAATAACTTAAGAAGAAAGCAAAACTATAAAGTCTGAAGGTAAAAAAAAAAAAAACAAAACAAACAAACAAAAAAACCCAAAACATGGGGACACAGCCAAGTGCTGGAAACACTGGGAGGAAGCAAACAACAGAACAATTAGCAAGGTTTTGTTGGGTCAGGCTTCCCCTTGTCCTTACTCAACCAGCTATAATGTTCAAGGAGGAGGTTGTTGGAGAGCTTGGCAGTTGAGGTGGCCTTTCCAGTCCTTTCTCATCACCATTGATTCCCTAGCTCCACAAAAGACCAGGGAGGGTTTTGAACGGTTGGGAACTGGAGGGCATGATTTTTTGTTGGTGTTTCAGTCTGTGCCCCACACATATGACAAAGTGTCAAATAGACGAATCTTATCTTTACAAGTACAGCCCTAATGACCTGTCTGTGAATCAGAGGAGTTCCCATGAGGGAACACTACATGAAATGCGGAACAGCCATATGATGGCACCAGCTAGCTATATCAAATGTTATCGGCCAGACATGTGATATATTTATATGAGAAACATAAATAATAGCTACATTATAAGTCTCCAGATGAAGAACAGAAGCGCCATTAGTGAAATCTTACTGTTATTATATGATGATTCCATAAAATGAGCGCTGTGATTTCTATTTGTAGCGGTGTGAAAAGTGAGAGAAGGTATTGAATTACCAGCCTGGTCCTGTCTGTGACTTTCTGGAAGAGTGACAAGGTCAAAGTTTATTTAGGTGTGGATAACAAAATAGAGTGAAGCCATCCTGGTCATTCTCTGGTAAAGATGTGCTGTTTAAAAACGATGCGTATATAAACATCGTCTCTATGGTGGATGCAAATGAACAACAATGACGGGAATGAATAACGTTTGCCTCCAGTGTTTCTTATTCACGCCTGGTGTGCAGCAGTGACCTGAAATCATCTATGGATTTGTCCCCAAGTATTGAGTCTGAGTGGCAGAAAGTGTGTGAGAAGTGTTGCTAGTCTTTTTTTTTTTTTAAATATTTATTTATTTATTTATTATGTATACAATATTCTGTCTGCGTGTATGTCTGCAGGCCAGAAGAGGGCACCAGACCTCATTCCAGATGGTTGTGAGCCACCATGTGGTTACTGGGAATTGAACTCAGGACCTTTGTAAGAGCAGGCAATGCTCTTAACCACTGAGCCATCTCTCCAGCCCCAGTGTTGCTAGTCTTTAATGACTTTTAAGAAATCTCATACCCATTTCAAGATTTCCAACCTGGCATTTTAGAAGTGACAATAGGAATATGGAAAAAGTGGAGCAGAGGCAGGAATAGTGGCATGCACCTGCAGCTCCATAACCTGGAGGCTGATGCAGCAAGAGGAGCCCAAGTTTAGGGCTAGCCTGGTGTAGCTCCCTGTCTCAAAAAAACAGAAGAAGGATGCTAATAGCATCTCTCTCTCTCTCTCTCTCTCTCTCTCTCTCTCTCTCTCTCTCTCTCTCTCTCTCTCTCTCTCCCTATCCCTTTCTCTCTCTCCCTTTTGGTTACATCTTGACAGTAAAAGTTTTTTGAATCCAGCGACCTCCTTTCTGACCTGTGTACAATGAGACGTCCTCACCCAGCTCTTTAGACGAGTTCTAACAAACTATTTTCTGGTCCATCTGTGGTTGATGCTTTCCGCTTGTACTTTCTGAATGATGTCATGTAAATTAGCAGTGAACCAAAGGCATTCTAATATCTCATTTGATTCTAAAATTAGCAAAAATGTTAGTAGGTGGTGGGCACTTGGGCAGTGCCCGCTAGTTACCTGCTCTTTGAACTGAATCCAGCCTTCAGGACAACTCTGTCCTCCAGATTTGTCATCTTGCTAGAATATTCCAGCTGTGACAAATGAGACCACTGTTTTTCTGCTTGGAGAATCTTTCCTCCCCACCTCTTCCTTTCATGTCTCATGGCTAGCCAAAGATGACCTTATTAACTAGCCCAGGTCTATACTTTCAAAATTTGAATTTAAATCTCTTACCCAGGACCCTGTTTGAAACCCTGATGGAATTTTTAAGTCATAAAAAGATATGAAAGTAGAGGAGGGGCTAGGTGGGAAGAGGAGGGGACCAGCACTAAGGGAACATGAAGAAGTAAGGGCTGTGATAGGATAAAAATGCGTCATATGTATGGAAATGCCACGATAAAACCCGTTATAGACCGGCAGTATATGTTAATAAACAATGTTGAATTTAGTGGTTCTAGGGAGTGGCCTGGATACTCATATTAAAAATCAAAACAGATGCAACTGCAAACGTTCCCTAAGTGATTCTGACGCCGTAGGAAGGCAGCAGGGGACAGTGCCATAAAGGGCAAAGTTTGAAGCCCAATGTCAGCGGTCAGCGTGAACATCTCAAAAGACGGGCACAGGACGTCGCTATACCATGTTTGGTGCAACGATAACGACAGAGATCTTTTAGCTCGTGTGTAATGTTGCCTACCTGATGCCTTTCCCCTTCTGTCTCCTCAGCCATCATGTACGTCATGGGAGCACTTGGCCCTGCAGTAGGATACTTACTAGGTGGGCTACTCATTGGTTTTTACGTCGATCCCAGAAATCCTGTTCTCCTCGATCAGAACGACCCTCGTTTCATCGGAAACTGGTGAGTGGTGTCCCATTTTGATTGGTCAGTACTGCTTTGCAGTTACAATGTTCCCAGTGAAGACGACAGGAAAACTGTAGCTAGGTATTACCTGTAACAGATGGTAGGCAGGGTGATGTCCTCCACAAACAGCCGTTTCCTTGGCCCCAGAGCTTATGACTATGGGACCCTCTGTGGCGATGGGGCTTTGCGGAGGTGATCAGGTTAAGGATTTTGAGAAGGGGAGAGTATCTTATATAAAGAGAGGAGGGAGGAAGCCAGACTCAGAGCTCTGCTGACGGAAGTGGAGGTCGTGGAAGTTCACTAAGAAGATGGGGGAAGGCTGTGAGCAAAAGAAGGCTGGCTGCGGGGGGTGCAGGGAGAATAAGGAAGGCAGGGAGGGAGGGAGGAGATGGATTTTTCTCTAGCTAGGACTTCAGATGTGTGTGCAGAAGCCTGAGGCCCAGAGTAAGGAGCTGAGTCCAAGTGTAGCTGGAGTCGATGTGCTGGTGTTGCGCGGGTCACTCCATGTGTGACAGCGTCTTATAGCAGCCATAGGGAACAAACACAGAGGCTTTGGGCCACTGTGTCTTGAGCAGAGCTCAGGAAAAGGGCTTCTGTGACCCTGAGGGGACTTTCCGAAAAGGTTCCTTTAACCCTATCTTCCATTTTCTTTTTTGTACTTTAGAGGAAAAAAAAAAAAAACCTTTCTGTCCTACTTAGGTTTTTGTTGGTGTGATAAAACACTGACCAAAACTAACTGGCGGGAACAAAGGGTACGGCCAGTTTGCAGAGTACAGTCTATCACCAAGGGGAGCTAAGGAAGCTTAACCGGAGCTTGAAGCAAAGACCATAGAGGAATGCTGCTTGCTGACCTGCTCTTCGTGGCTTGCTTGGCTTGCGTCCTTAAATAACATAGGGCCACTTGCCCAGGGTGGAGCCACCCACAGCGGGCTGGGCCCTCTCACGTGCATCACCAATGGAGAAACTACGCACAGACTTGCCCATACCAGTGTGGTGGAGGCAATTCCCCAGCTGAGAGTCCTGCTTTCCTGGGGACACTAGCTGGTATGAAGTTGACAAGAACTTAGAATTGCATGTCCTCCCTGGCTCAGATCTCCAGCTCCTCTTCCCCTTGCTCCACTGGGCAGGTCTTTTCTCTTTGGAAATAGTTTGTTTCCCGACAAGTGCTGTACATTTGGCCCTTCTCTCACTTGCTAGACTTTAAGAGTCCTGCCGCAGCAGCGATGCTCACAAACGCCGGGGAATTTTCGCATTGCGTGGTATACTGTTTATGTGCTTGCCGGATGAATAGTTTGAGTTCTTCGCAGTCCTCAATTGGCAGAAAACAGGTTATTTCTTCATTACAGCAGAGCCACTGATGGAAAATATTGGTGTCCCAAATTCACGTTGCTGGGTCAGTAGCAGGTATATAGTGATAGATTTTCATTTTGTGGCAAACAATATTTTAGTACTAGAAATTACATGTGTCATACAATTACTTTCAGGAGAGGGATTTAGAGTGCTTTATCCTGTTTTATTATAAGAACCCTGTAACTCTGTGATTGGTGGGAAATAGACTTAACACAAATTTCTGGAAGTTAACTGATATTAGTGAGGCTGTTTGACAGTTCTGACTTTTATCCTAACCCTCACTGAAGCTAGACAGGCTAACACCCAGGTGAACTTGGTCTGCAGAGCGTTTGAGTCATACAAAGAGGAGAACTCTTGTCAGATGGGGTTTTGAGTTCTTGACTGACAGTGAAAATGTTGATCTCAGCTGTTTTCATCGAAGTTCTGGAATGAGTCAGAATCGAAATTGCTTGCCATCATTAGAAAAGAGATTCCTAAAGTAGGCTGAAGAATGTCTAGTGTGTTCCCAGCATCCTCCTTAGATATCCTGAGATGAGTGCGGTAAGAATGGAGCCTAGGGATGGAAAGACAGAAGCACCAACGGAAGGGCCAGGGGTAGGGAGGATGGCATAAGCTCTCATCTGACCTGTGCCTCGGGCTGTCATTTATCAGTTTTCTAGTGGACAGGCACTTACTCAACTGGGGGTTAATGTTTCGATGTGGAGCATGGACCCTTAAGTTGCAGTCTGCCAGCGTGCTCCACATAGCTGAGTGGACTTGGGGAATTACTTCTCTGTGCCTTGGTTGTAGGGCTGTAGTTAGGAAAGAGTTGACTATGAAGAGCTCTGAGTTTGCCTTGTCTTGCCTTTCTAGCAAGTTCTAGCCCTCAGTTGTTTTGTTTGTTTGTTTGATTTTAATTTTTGGTTTTTTTTTTTTTTTTTGCAGTTCAATAGGGGGTTCAGTGAAGGGTCTTATACACATACCCAGCAAGTGCTCTATCTCTATGATACATTCCCAGCCTTCTAGCATTTTCTTTTTTCTTTTAATTATTTATGTAAGCTCACTAAGTTGCTCAGGCTGGCCTTGACCTTGCAGTCTTCCTGCCTCTGCCTCCTAAGTAGTTAGTTAGGATTATGGACTTGCACCACCTGACCAAGGCATCTTCAGGGCTTTGCATTTTACCAATAGTGAGATCATTTTATCTATCCACTGATGGCTTAATCTTAATTCTATAAGTGATTGTCAGTTTAGGATTAGCTGAGTCTGTTTAAAAACGAATTTGAATTTTTTCTGTTCAGTAGTCTTGCTGGTGATAGATTTCTCATTGAATGTGATACCCAGCACCAAAGGTAAGTTTTCATTAACTGGAGGATGAAGGGGTGAAGGGTGAAATTATGGCGGTATTTATTAGACACTCAACATGTGTCAAGTGTTATACTAAAAGCTTTACACATATACTCATTTAAGCCTTTTAACAATCAAATGTAGCTTTTAACATCATGCCCATTTTATAGGCTGAGAAATTAATATTTGGGGAAATGAATTGCTTGCATAAAGCCTCTGTGCAGCAGGCTGGGTTGAGGAACTGACAAGGGCAGACCTATGTGTCAGTCAACTGCCTACCTTATAACTGGGCTGGATAATGGTTCACGAAAGGGGTTTAGATACCTGGACCTTTCAGTGTTGACTGTGATTGAGGTCTCGTTTCCAGTGTATGCTGTGCAATCTCCTGTCATAGTTTCCCCCAGAGTCCTCCTCAGCAGGCCTCAGTGGCTGTTGTTATCTCCTGCTTCATGAGGTTATTTCTTGAAGCTATTGAGGACTCTTACCTGGTTTGCTTTGCTTTGAATTGATCACACGCTGTCCTGCTTTTATTTGCTTGCAGTAATTCTTCCCTTCTTCTCAGCTGTAACAGTGTATCTCGAGAATTGGGAAAATAGCTCAGTGGGCAAGGTGCTTGCTGTGAGCCTGGTTACCAGAGTTCATTTCCCAGAACCCATGTGAAGATTGAAGGAGAGAACCGATTCCACAGAGCTGTCCTCTGACCCGCACACATATAATGTGGCAAGCGTACTACCCCCACACCAAAACACACTTGTAGTAAATAAACATCTTAAAACATCTAAAGAAAAGTGTACCAATTTCCTGATTGCACGAAATTCTATATCACCACAGGCTGGGTGAAGGTTGAAGATCTAGTCTGCGTGCAGATCTACATTAAAAAACAGAACCAAAGTAGCTACTGCACATTAAAACATAAAACATTAAATATCAAACATAAAACATTAAGCATCAAACATAAAATATAAAAAACAGAACTAAAGTAGCTACTTCACATTAGGTCTGGTGTAAGGATCATCTTTAAATTTGAAGACTCTCAGAAGCATTTTTTCACCCTGTTTCCAGATGAGAAATTCAACTAGGAGAAGTAAAGTAAGTCCCCAAGATCTCATAGTTAGTAAGTGGTGAAGACAGAATCCAAACCCAGATGTGTCTGAACCGCAGCTCCTGAATATTCTGACTCCCCTGCCTGCCCTCTCCAGGAGGGAGGATGCAGGGCTGAGATAGTGAAGCAGCTTGGGGCCTCTAATTCCAGCGGGTAATGGGGTGTGCTATGGGGAATGATTGATGAGGGCCCATAAGCATCCAGCTTCTGGCAGGATGCTTTTCTTTCTTTCTTTCTTTCTTTCTTTCTTTCTTTCTTTCTCTCTCTCTCTCTCTTTCTTTTCTTTCTTTCTTTCTTTTTTTTTTTTTTTTGAGATAAGGTTTCTCTGTGGTTTTGGAGCCTGTCCTGGAACTAGCTCTTGTAGACCAGACTGGTCTCGAACTCACAGAGATCCACCTGGCTCTGCCTCCCAAGTGCTGGGATTAAAGGTGTGTGCCACCACCACCCAGTATCCAGCTTCTGAAGGAGACATGTTGACCTAGCGATGGTCACCAACACTGATACCTGCCACCTTTGAAAATCCATTTTTTTCAATTTATGTATTAGGTAAAAATTTTGAATATCTAACCTGTCCCAAGCACTAGACAATGCATCCCCTAGGAAGCTTGCTGGAACACAAACTACAAAATAAGACTCAACGCTCAGCTCTCTATCTTCTTGCGCTTCTTGGTGGGTGTTTCTTCTATCTTTGGCTTACAGTAGTCTTACGTTCTTCATGACAAAGACCAACTATGAATTCTTGCTGTCCATCATATCTGCTAAATATTGTGAGGACTGGATAAGTGTGGGGGGTGAGCAATACATTCTGAAGTACTTGTAAAAATATGGAAGCCCCATCAGCAATTAGAAATACACTGGAGATAAAGTTAGAGTGTAGCTTCAATCTCCGTCACAAAAGGATGGGCAAACAAAGTACATTTGACAAGAACTATTTTTTTTTCCGGTATATTGCTCCTCACAGCAGGTGAGGTGAGTCGTTTTTTTTTTTTTTTCTAGTAAATTTATGGTAGCCAGGTATGGTGGCTTATGCCTGTCGTCTTGGCATTGGGCTGTAGAGGAAGGAAGATGAGACAGTCAAGGTCACCCTGAAATAATAATCAGTTGGGGTCAGTTGGAATTACGTGAGACTCAGGCTCAAACAAAGCAAAAGAAGACAAAAACTGTAGTGAAATGCATTCTCTAGCAGAACTGATCTGTACTCAGATTTCTTTCTTTCTTTCTTTCTTTCTTTCTTTCTTTCTTTCTTTCTTTCTTTCTTTCTTTCTTTCTTTCTTTCTTTCTTTCTTGTTTTTTGGTTTTTTTCGAGACAAGGTTTCTCTGTGGTTTTGGAGCCTGTCCTGGAACTAGCTCTTGTAGAGCAGGCTGGTCTCGAACTCACTAAGATCCGCCTGCCTCTGCCTCCCGAGTGCTGGGATTAAAGGGGTGCACCACCACCGCCTGGCTTGTACTCAGATTTCTTGAATGGCATTCTAACCAAGCTGCTGAATACAATAGTCACTAAAATCCTCGTATGATTATGAATTTTTCCATTCATGCTGCAGGAAGGCAAATTACCTTGATTTTCTCAGTTGGTTCAATTTTCTTCTGCCTTATACTTGACGAAGGTGCAATGATGTCTTTGCAGTGTTATCACGACAAACCCATCTTTCTGATTTGTTCTTGCCCCCAGACCGAAGCCATAAATGCTACTCACATTTCCCAATTTTCTAGGTGGAGCGGATTCCTCCTTTGTGCCGTTGCCATGTTTCTTGTGATATTCCCAATGTTTACTTTTCCAAAAAAGCTTCCGCCTCGACACAAGAAAAAGAAAAAGAAAAAATTTTCTGCTGATGTCGTTAGCGACGATGACGTCACCAAGGAGAAATCAATCACGAGTGAACAAGTCAACAAAAAGGTTTCCTCAATGGGCTTTGGAAAGAATGTCAGAGGTAAAGTATATCTCTTAAGTAAATACATGCATGGTACTTTAGGCCAGCGCTCTGCCAAGCGTGGGTCCAGAGAGGGCCCAGTGAGAGAGGGCAGTGCTGGGACCTTGAGTGTGATGGTCAACCGGGCCCCGAGATAGAACGCTGTGGCCCCATACCAGGGTCGCTCACAGGTGTCTGCCGATGACTGGATAGATTTGAAAGGAAATGCTGTATATGCCACTTCAGAAATGTGAGAGAATGGCCTCTTTGAGAGGAGGTGGGAGACAGTGACAAATAAGAATGAAGCAAAATGGCACACACACACACGCACGTGCACACACACACACACACACACACACACACAATGAAACCCATTATGTTGTAAGCCAACTTTAAAAAAGAAATTTAAGGGAATGATTTTATCTATGGAATTTGACAGTAGTAATAAAAAGTTAGGCTTGTGCTTTTCAAGTCCTTAAAGTGATGGATGACATGAAGACCAGGGTTCTGTTTCTGGAGTCTATGGTGGAAAAAGAGAAACACTCCCAAGGAAAGTCCTCCAACCTCAACACACACATGTGGTGATACAAGCCTGGCATTCATGCACACACATGGTACACACTTATACACACTAATAGTGAGAAAACCAAAATGAAATTCCAGAACAGACAAACAAGTTTCTAACAATTTATTTGAGTGTGTTTTGCAAAATTTTTGGTAGGTAACAGATGAAATAATAAAAGAAATGGCCCACCCTGCAGGAAGTTTGAGAATCACTGCTTCAGGTCATGAGGATACCCGTATCTAGATGTAGCATTTGCTGCAGTTACGGATGTCTGATTACTAACACTGTGATTGCATTGTGTAAAGGATGGTTTTATTTTAGGGAAGCAGTATGGGGAGATCTTTATGCAAGTATGAAAATCCACTAGAAGGAAATATTCTTCCTTAGTAATTGTATCAATTGTCCCTGTGTAGTTGTCCTGGAGAAAGTGTGTCTGTGGGATGGACTGTCTTGCTTTTCCATTTTTATTTCTCTTAAAAACAATAAGTTTAGCATTAAGCACACCTTTAACCCCAGTACTTGGGAGGCAGGGGGCATATTTCTGTGAGGCAGAGTCGGACAGGCAGATTTCTGTCAATTTGAGGTTAGCATGGTGTATATAAGGAGTTTGAAGCCAGCCAGAGCTAGATGGTGTGCCTCTGTCTCAAAAAGGAAATGCTGATAGTAGAAATAATAATAATGATAATAATAATAATAAAATAGAGGTCATTAAAGATAGATTAAACATTCTAAAATCTAAACAGCTTAAATCATTCCTAAGTATGTAAGCTTTGTTCTGTTGAATGACAGCAAGTTCCTTTGTTTAAGAACACTAGAGTGACTCCCATTCTTTACTTCCAGTCTCATTTCCTGAATTCTCAAAGTTAATATTTATATAAATTATAGAGTACGAGGTTTATCAGATGCTCATGATGAAATAACCGTGGCAGTTTGACCAGTGAGACAGAGGCAGAAAATGAAGTTACTAATACATCGTAGAGTTGTTACTATAGTCTCAGAAGGAGGAGAGACTGGAACATTGCTAAAGACTACTTGTTCAAAGCACTTTAACATCAGTATTTGGGAAATACTATTTCTTTTCATTTAAGTTATAGATATGGTCTCCTTCTTCCCCATGACTTTGTGACAATGTGTTTTTTTGTAACTGCTAAAATGACTCCCGATACTCCAGTAAAACACAGGGATTCTCTGGATGCTCATGTTGTCTGAGCTCTTTCCATGTGGGCCAGCCCATCATTTTCACAGTTGTATTATGGACCATTGATGATGATGATGATGTTCATGCACGTGTATGTGCACCTGTATGGGTACAGATAACTTTGGAGTCCAGAAGAGGGCACTGGTCTCCGAAGTTCAAGTTAGAAGTGATTGTGGGATGCCAGATGCGGGTACTGGGAACTGAACTTGGGACAAGATCAGTGTGCGCTCTTAACCACCGAGCCATCTTTCCAGCCCCCACAATTTATTTTACATCTGAATTGAGATGAAGTTGCTGTTAAATAATTTAAGTCATATAAATATATTTAGAATTTTAATTTGGAGAAATACAAAGTAGACTCAGGGGAAGGGATGAAGACATGGTTAGAGATATTGATACTTTGTAAATTAGGACTTCAAAGTGAAATATATTAATTGAACAGTACAAGGGGATATTGATATCAAATCCATACAATTGCTTACATTCTTTCTAAAGATAGATCCATCATATTTCATGTGTATGCGTGTTTGCCTACATGCATGTCTGTACATCACTTGCATGCCTGGTGCCTGCAGAGTCCAGAAGAGAATGCCAGATCCCCTGAGATTGAAATAACAGGTTATTGTGAGCTGCTCTGTGGGTACCAGGGAGCAAAGCCAGGTCTTCTCCAAGAGCAGAAAGTGCTCTTAATGGCTGAGTCATTTCTCCAGTCCCCAAGGCTTTTCTAGATACTTTGGCCGCCCTTTCTTTTCCTGGATCTCTGCCATATTCCCTGCCCAGTGCTTTTCAAAATGTCTAGTGCTTTTTTCGAGGGGTTCTACTATCATATAGAAATGAGAAGAATCCATTCTGGGATTTAAGACTTACTGATGGAAATTTAAATGCTACTTTTTTTAATTTTTAATTTTTAAAACAATCTTATTTTACTTACCAATTCCAGTTCCCTCTCCCTCCTATCCTCCTGCTCCCCCCATCCTCTCCCCACTCCACCCCCATCCATTCCTCAGAGAGGGTAAGGCCTCCCATGGGGAGTCAACAAAATCTGTCACATCATTTGAGGCAGGACCAAGGTCCTCTCCCCTATATCTAGGCTGAGCAAGTTCTCCCTCCATAGGGAATGGGCTGCAAAGAGCCAGTTCATGCACTAGGGATAAATACTGGTTCCACTGCTAGTGACCTTAGACTGCCCAAGCCACACAACTGTTACCCACATTCAGAGGGCCTAGTTCAGTCTTATGCAGGGTCCCCAGCTGTCAGTCCAGAGTCAGTGAGCTCCCACTAGCTCAGGTCAGCTGTTTCTGTGGCTTTCCCCATCATGGTATTGGCCCATTTGCTTGTAATATCGCTCCTCCCTCACTATGGCTGGACCCTAGGAGTTCACCCAGTGATTAGCTGTGGATCTCTGTATACGCTACTTCTTAGTTTCTTGTATTGCAAGGGATTGTGGGTTTCCAGCTTTTCCACATTGGTGTGGATCACCACACAAACACACACACACACACACACACACACACACACACACACACGTAGGGGTGAATAAGAAGAGTATGAGCATGTTGTATAGTTGGTTTATGAAATAAGTGTTCAGTCTGATTTTCTTGCTCATATTTCTGGCACAGTCTCCTTTTCATTTCCTTTCTGGACTGTGATGGATGATCCCGCTCTTGGGTAAATCTGGGACACCCTGATAACTCATTGCTCTACTTGTACAAAATGGATTCTCTAGCTGGTTGTAGATTGGAAGTTCAAGTCGGCGCCTCATGTAGCTGGCCATAGACAAATTAGATAGCTAAAACTGGCGTCGGACCTCTCATTCTCCTGTCTCAACCTCTGAAGATTCAGATCTGGGCACGTCACCACACCCAACCTAGTTTACTTTATCTTGCTAAGCAGAAACACTGCTTTAATGGGATACACTGAAAATCTCTTGCTAAAAATGTCTTAAACCATACCGAAGATACTGGAATACTATTTAGTTAGGGTATTTAAATCAATTAATTTGATCATACACATCAGTATTCCTTAGTGTGTTTACAACAAAGCAACTGTTAAAAGTGTGATTCTGATATTTAATTCGGATAAAGGACACCTCTGGGTATAAACTCGGCTTGGCATGATTTACATCACAGAGCCGAGGCTCATGGTGAAGGTCTTGCATTATGGACAGTTTAGATTTCATTCTGAGTTGAATCTGTGTTTGAGTCCCACACTCTCCTTTATTTGCTGGAGCAGGTTTTCCTTTTGTCTTTATTTTTCTGTGTTGGTCAATACCAGATCTTTTAAAGAGGAGCTCGATAGCTTAGCCATCGATTTGTACTCCCTTACAAAGAAAACTATCTGGGCTTTACAGAATGGTATCTTTTCGCTTGCTTTATTTGTAAACAGGGTCTTGCTGTTTCATCCAAGCTGGCTTTGAACCACTGAGTTCAAGCGACCCTCTTGCCTGAGTTCCCCAGGTACCAGGGACCGCGAGGCCGTGCCATTGCTCTTAGTTAGTTAATGTGATGCCCCTCTTAGAGGCGCTCTTGCGGAGGAGCTAGAAGAAAATCCACTGTACTTTCTACTTTCTGCTTCCCCACCCTGATGCAGATATTGGGAAAATCTGACTCACAATTTCTAGGGCCTTATAAATTATGTAGAGCGAGGCTGCTGTAAAACACCGCAAAGAGGAATGCCAAATTGTCAGTGTGTCTGTGTTACCTTTCCGCAAGGAGATTAACATTGATTCCATCAAAATCCTGACAAAAATAAACACTTGAAATATTTAAGTGGATCAACTTTCCTGTGGTTTGAGGCTTAGCATTTTAAAGTCTTCCCCATTTAACTCAACATTTTCTGTATAGAAAAAAAAGGTGGCATTTATTTTCCTTGATGCCCATTTTTAGTCTTGTTTGGCATTATCATAAACACAAAATAGAATTTCTTTTGGCTAGAATTTTGTCTGTGTTGGTATGCAACATTTATAAACATTTATAAATTTATAAACATAACCAAATAGAGGTGGTAGTTGATTTTAAAAGAATTATTGAACGTTACAGATTGTTTCTATTATTATTACTAATTCTGGTCATTAAATGACAAGGTTAGGATCTGGGAGATGGCTCAGTCAGTGAAGAGCCCACCAGGTGAGTAGGAGGACCAGAGTTTGGATCCCTAGAATCTGTAAAATTCTAGTGTGTGAGTGCACACTCAGAACCCCAGTGCTCGGGGTGTGGGGTGGGGTTGGGGTGAGGACAAGCAGATCCCATAGAAGGGTTG